TGGAATATTCCATGTACGAGTGAATAGGTCTCTAGTGATGACGTATTACGCATCTTATGAACGATAACTCGATATATGAACGATAACTCATGTTCGACTTCTTTTACGCCATAGCATCTAGTCATTACCTCAGTAAATACATCGAATCATTATGTAAAAGTAAATGCTGACTGATGTTTTTCATACTAACTGTAATGCTATTATTTAAACACTGAATTTTCTGCAGATTTTTTTCGCGTTTCTCGGTCATACAAGGAGCACAAGGGAGGTAAGACCTGTCGGTAGGAGATGCTTATTCCTCAAAGACGCATGTTCTCATGTTTTTGGAGGTCTGTATTAGCTCTGCTTCCGGTTTGTATTGTTATTGAATTCTTCAAAATCATTTGTCAGTTTTATAATATATTTTTAATATTCCTGACAACCAGAATGAATTTGAATTACCATATCCTTATTGGATTCCAAAACTTCATAATAAAAATCCTTACAAACAAAGATACATAGCGGGTTCCAGTAAATTTTCTATCAAGCCTCTTTCTTTATTCCTCACTTAAATATTATTTCCCGTGTAGTAGCGAAGGAGAAACTTCAAGAGGACTATGCAATAATATATTGATTTGAAAAGTGGTGTAAATCAGATGTGGATACAATTCCCAAAAACGTATGGAAAATGCAAAATCAAAAATTTTTACTAAAATTATTGCCTGACGTTACGGCGTAAGACTGTATAAGGATTAATATTTGCATGATCCGACAGAGCTAGATTTTGTGCAAGCTGAATTACATTGGAATTCTTTACCTGCATTTTAAAAGAAACATTTTTCAGAAAAAGAATGATATTACTGGTGCAGAATACTGCAGTGTTTACTTCCTTCACTCTTTTACATGGAACAGATTATTCAATGTACTGTAATTCATCGTTTGAACATGTCCGTGTATCCTTTTTCTGCATTTCTATACTACTGGATCAGTCCATTTATATTCCACGAACAGAATATAATGACGAAAGGGGTGAATTGCTCTTTTCGCGCCAAATGTCACTACTTATTTATAGTAAGCATTCGCGCCTTTTCCTTGGATTGTTCTATAATTGTATGAATGGGTGTCCTTCTAATAATTAAGAAATTTTATTTACAAGTTTTATCCCATTCTTTTGAACAACATATCGTATATATCAGTATATAGATATGCAACACTAAAGGAATGATTTTTCTAATTTGTTTCCCAATCTCGCAGTTGGTTTATTCCATAAATGGACCGTCCAACAATGATACACAACGCAGTTCAACAAGGCAGTACTCTCCAAATGCATGATCTATTATATGTGTCTGTTCAAATGCACACAATAAATAAGAAACAAGTGCAAAATCTTGGAATTTTGTCTTCCAAAAAGGCCTAAATATTGAATTTACTTATTTCATTCTCAATATGTGATAGTAGCACTACCCCCCCCCCCCTTTTAAGTTAAAAAACCATAAGTGAACACCAGGGACCTATAAAGGTCCCTGTGAACACACATTACTACTGTTTATACATACTTCAGTGGAGAAAATACACTCCAACAAAATGTGTATTTAATTATATCCACCTTTAAAAATGTTTACAACGCATGATTTGATGACAGATTTTATAATAGGTGTACAATGAAGCTTTCAATTTAGATCCAAGGGCAGATCACACCACTTGCAAACCCCCCCCCCCCCCCTATAACAACTCTTTAGTATGCAATGTAGAGATAATTCTTCTACAAGTTAGATAAAATCAAGGATTTCGTTTTCACAAAGATCTCAAAATATAAAGTACATGTAATATTAAACCCTCAAAAGTATTGCTCAAAAGGTTTATCACCACTCATGCAGAAATTGACAGTTGTGTCTTTCACTAATTAACAATTCTCAATTGTTAATGAGTGAAGGACAGTTATGTCGTCACAAGACGACATCATCCGTGGGAATCCGACGATATGCTGTGTGGATTCAGAGATCCAGATCCCAATCAGATCTATAGGGCGGGGTCATCATAAGAGTTTATAAAATCTTTTCAATTTTTTTTTTTATAATGGTAGAGGTTAAGCTCGAAGTATTCTTTTCCTCGATCTTTAGCGTTAGGATAAATTAAAGTATTTTTAGTTCTCTAACGCTTACTTCACACTTGTATCACCATTGCCCTCCTTAGATTGATTCAAGGCGATATTGATTGCAGGAGTTTGGAAAGATGGATCAAAATTATAATATATTATTTTAATTATTCGTTTTTTTTCCCTGATGCAAGGACGTACGTAGCTTCGTCTTTGAAAAAAGGGGGCAGTCAGAGATTAAAAAAAAAATCAACTAGTCAGTAACCTGAAAAAATCTAGAAAAACAGGAGGGGCTTCCAAACGTCCGCACTCGAAAATCCAATGGGGGGGGGGGGGGGGGAGTCGATCCTCGAACTTCTATCTGTAGTATTCCCCCCCATAAAACTACATGTATCTAAATTATAATTTTGACTATACTACAACTACATTAGTGGGGGAGCAAATAATTTTCCTTTCAATAAACAGTTTCAATATTAAAAAGTTGTGTGATAAAAAAGGGGGACAGCTTTAATATAATCAGTTATCAAATTTTTCAAAATTGCTTGTTCCTATCCTAAGAATTTATTAAATCAAACGAAATTACAATTGAGAAAACTCAATGAATATCATTTTTCCCATCATAAGTGGGTGTCGAGGCCTATATACACATATATATGACTCAATCTTGACTAAAGTGTGGGGAAAAATACAACGTGTGTATAGACAATTAAAAAAAGATTAAATAAAGGAGCGAATCGAGGGTCTGATTTTAATCTAATTGAAAAATCAATTTACAGTTGTATGTAGACATGGTAGATCTGTACATCAATTAATTAATGAAGTTTGATTTTTGCATAATGTCAGCATTTCAATGACTTTTGTTTCAAAATAAATCAATTTACTAATAACATGAATAATTAAATCAAACATCAAATAACTACTTTGAAAGGTTTTTTTTTCTGCAAATGTAAAAGTTGGTAAAATTTTTGTACACAATATTGTTAAAAAAATAATTCAGTATTAATTAAATTAAACATGTTTCTAAAAATACTGATTGTCATCTAACATACATGTATCAGAAATGAATAATTCTTTTTTTGTACAACACATATCATGTAAATCTATACTGATATATATATAAAAATTCTGAGTGGTACACCGAGATTGTCAAGACACACATTTATTATTACACCCAAGGACAGATATTTGAAATGCGTACACCCAGGGACCGATTTACACAGGTATTTCTTTGAACACGGCCGAAATGTCACGTGACTTAAATTCCTGGCTGTTCTAATTAAATTCCACAATGCAATTATTTTTTCCTGATTTTACCACCAGCAATATATTATTTTTGAAAAACAAAAGTAGTAAAATGAGTTGTACTGCATTATTAGTTTACGTATATTTAATTTTTGCAAACTATGGAGAAATGAAATGAAATATTAAAAGAAAATGACATAGGGGGTAAAATAGAACAGCGGAAGTTATGATTCAGATTGTTGTCACTAAATTGGAATTTCTTCTGTCGTGTGTTGTGCATAAAAATACTACAAGTATAGATATCTGGTAAGAATTTTTGATGAATATGAAAGCAGATAGAATTATGTAAACCTTTCAGATGCATTTTCATGGTAGATATATTCTCGAATGGCATATTTTATGTATTATGTTGATTGATAGAAATAATCTGCAAAACTTTGTGGAAATGTACGTTTGTAATCATCTGATGGTATACATTACACAGTGTTTATAAGCAGCATTAGCATAGTTAACACAAAACACAGAATCTAGTGAAAAAAATACACAAATTTTACTCAAATCCAAGGACTAAATGTAATTTTATGATACCATTGACGTGAACATGATGAAAGAAGTGGGATACATCACACAGTCCAGTCCAATACGAAAATTCGTAATATTAAGAAAAAACGTAAGATTACGAGAAAGCGTAACATTACAAGTTATCGTAATATAACACTTATATTACACTTTTTCGTAATGTAGTTAAATTACGAATACGCGTAATATAGCAGATTGTAGAGACTATATTACGAGTTTTCGTAATCCAAGACAAATTCAAGCATTGCAAGAAATTGAGTGGTGGGAAGCAAAGTATGACGTTTACTACGAGATGTCACGGGCGATAACTTGTACGACTCTTACTGAGATTTGAATTCTGTGTATTTCGATAAGAATTGCACGAACAGTTGTATTATGAGACGAGGATGTGATTTTTAGGGTAGACTTCGGAAGAAAAGTAGGGAGTTCGGGTGATATAGACCAATGCGACATTCTTAAGCGAATATTGAAATTTACTGGAAAATTGGTCTTATCCTTGGGAAAATTCCTATAAAAGAATAATAAAAGAAATTGTCGACTCACCCATCGCTGGCGGTACTTTCTTCTTGAATTTCCCTGCTTTCTGATAGGCGTAACTGACCAAACTGACCGTGTGCTATCAGTAGATGTGGAATCTGATAAATTACTGACGTCATATTTTGTTTCCCACCACTCAATTTCTTTCAATGCTTGAATTTGTCTTGGATTACGAAAACTCATAATATAGTCTCTTACAATCTGCTAAATTATGCGTATTCGTAATTTAACTACATTACGAAAAATTGTAATATAAGTTTTATATTAAGATAACTTGTAATATTACGCTTTTTCATAATCTTACATTTTTTCGTAATATTACGAATTTTCGTATTGGACTGGACTGTCACATGTTGAATGAAAATATTTATGGTTATCATTTTCTGTTTGAATAATCGATCTGAAATATTGCACATGTATTATTATAGTCTGATTCTCACACCTCTTAGAAATCTACATTATATGCTTTCTGAATTGATTTTGATTTGTTTTATCAACCACTTGTTTCTCCCTTTAATAGCCCTAGTGAGCCATGAGTGTTGGTTCCCCTGCAGTGGGGTCCCTCCAGTTGAAATGGGACCCCAAAAATCTGGAGATCCGGACAATGTCTGTGGAGAAGACACTGGAACCTTTAGTTACACAGGTATTATGTTATTTCTCTCACTGCTATGCATATTAGCAGGGCTCGACATTAACACTTGTCCGGTACCAATACGGACAAGTGAATATTGCTGGGCACTTGTCCGATTGGACAAGTGCATTTTAATGTAAAGGGGTCTCTAAATAATGAAAAGAACGACTGTTGAAAGCTAAGTCCAATCGATTGAGCTAAATCGGTAGTCTCAAGACGGAAGCTGTACATAAAATCTAAACTACAATCCCGATATGTATAGTCATTATTAATATTGAGTTCACATTCGATCGGGATCGAAGTTCACTAATTGCCTACTACTGAAAAGTCATGGAAGATACGAACTGAAGTGTGAATTGTTTGATGTTGACAGGTTCACTTGTGGACATTTATTTAGAAAGCCTAAATTAAATTTCGTTTTATGTGTCTGCTGTATTTATCAGTAACATCAAGAATCAATCAAGCGCATGACATGTGTAAATAAATGGACTTTATTTTAATTTTCAAGTTGAAACTATTGAAATTTATTGAAAAATTTTCGGACAAGTGAAGTTGAAATTCGGATAAGTAAATGTCTTTGTCACTTGTCCGAATGGACAAGTAGGAAAAAAAGTAATGTCGAGCCCTGATTAGTTGTTATGGTCAGAATTTACAGAGGTACAGTATAGTTGACACTTTGTTGATATTACAAAAATCTTTAACTGTTATATTGGTAAAATCAGTACTTAGTGTTTGAAAAAGGTTAAATTTAGTTCTAATGAAATACACGCATGCCCTTCTTTTGAACATTTTTCTGATGAAAAAGTTTGTCTAATACACATGACTCAACATGAAAAAAAGTGAGTATGAGAACTTGGGAAATTTTTTATAAGAAGGGAAGTTTATGTTCAGAATTAAATATTCATACATTCTTTTAGTTTATCATGTTCATAATCCAGGAACATCCAGTTTTGATAAAACCTTTTCATTTACCATGTTTACAGGTAACAACCCTAGTTAATCAAAAAAGTCCATCAAATAAAAAGAAAGGGAGGTCAAAGAAGGCACATGTTTTGAGTGCCGCTGTTCAGAAAGCTACAGAGAATTTCATCGCTAGAGGAGAGGAAATCGCCAATGAAAACCCAGATATCAGGCCTGATATGATGGCAGCTGTCGACGAAGTCAGGAAAACTGGTAAGTACAATGTGACTTATAGCCATTTGTATGGAATTGACAGTTGATATGCTTGTCAATCGTAAAGTCAGAGAAGGGTCTTAACTGCCCTTTATGTATCACTGATAAAGATGGTATTTCTGTGTATATGCCATGCATAATAACTAATATTTAAACCAGGATCATATAAAATTATGAATGATAATTGTGTATATTTTAGAAGCAAGCTTGTCAAGTATTAATGCATAAAGTTAAAGAAAATTGTATGCCCCCACAATCATGAATAAACTTACATGTAAATGACATCACCATGTATAACCTAGCTGATTTGTTTGTCCCAAATTAGGGAACCTGCTCTTAAAAAGCTACTCAGTCCCCTCTATATATGTATTTGTATTGTAGGGGAGGTAATGAGGGATGCCTCTTACTTACTTACTTACTTATGCCTGCTACCCCTTTTGGGGCATAGGCCGCTAACAAGATTCCTCCAGGCCCCTCTATCCTGGGCAACAGGGATGCCTCTACTGAGTTTATATCTATGTATTTGAATTGTAGGGGAGGTAATGAGGGATGCCTCTACTGAGTTTATATCTATGTATTTATATTGCAGGGGAGGTAATGAGGGATGCCTCTACTGAGTTTGCCGCTGAGCCCTGTTCCCTGTCTAAGCGGGGGGCCATGGTACGGGCCGCTAGAGCTCTCCTGTCTGCCGTCACAAGACTTCTGATCTTAGCTGATATGGTGGATGTTCATCTCTTGCTGAAATCTCTTAGAATGGTAACCAGGCTAAGACTCAAGTTCTATCAGTATATATACATATTTTGAATGCATTGAAATTTATGAATATTCCTTTTAAGAGACTAATACACTAAGAAATCTTAGTAATTTATGTCTGACAGGTTGAAATAGTTTTCATATTACGTGTATTTTCATGAAACGTATATTTGTATATAATTTAAATGTTTATTTTCTGATTTCCGATTATTTAATCCTTACCATGTTAACAGGTTGAGGGTGACTTGGATAGAGTACGGAATGCCACAAGTCAGCAGGAGCTGATGTCCAGCTTCAAAGATTTAGGAGAGAGCTTAGTAGATCTAGCTCAGCGAGCTGCCCAAAGACAGAATGTATGTCACAGTTAATATGTACAAAATAGTTATGTTTATTCACCAGTCAAGAACCCTCAGGGGGCATATACAATTGGTACAGTATGATTAAAATTAGATAATATAATTAGAGTATATTGTAATACATGTAGTATAAGCTCTCAGATAGGACAGGAAAGATTTATATTTATCATACGTTCCACTTGGAAAGAGGGAGATACATTGTACGAGGGGCATTTCAAAAGTTCTGGCAACTGTTTAATAAAAAGTTACCGTTTTACGGAAATTATAGAGTTTGATGTCATTGGAAAGATCAGAAAAATATACACATATTGTGACGTCACCTTATAATTTTTATGACGTAATAACTCTGAAAATGACGTTAGAATATAGAATGTTTAGCATACTGAAAAGTTGCGTTTTTATCCACATGAGACAATCGTTAAAGTGTTGCCAAAGGCTTATTTGAAAAAATATTTCAAAGAAAATTTTAATTTGCAAAGAGGTAGAGTAGGACTATGATACTGTTTATCAGCAATTCCATTATTCATTGTATGGTTTGTTTACGAGCACGGTTTATGTCCGGTTATGCTATCATAAACATTCATTTAAGATTTTTATTTACATGATACGGTTGGATTTTCGGTCTTTTATAAAGCTCTCCATTGTTTGAAATAAAACATGTTCTGTATTAAACTGAAGTATATTAATGCAGTTTTCATGAAATATATTTTGAGTAACAGGACTGTTACCGTTTACGAATAAAATGTACGAAATCGTGTCCCCGACTTAATTCTGTGCCTATTTTTTCATACAAATTCAACTTCGGCGCCCCACAACTTACTACTGCTTTTGACTTTTGAATCCAAAAATGAATATAAGTTAGTCAGACATGTAAAGTCTTATTTATTTTCCATACATTAAAATTTGCGAATATGTGGAGGTACGGTTGGGTTACAACTGCGCTGCCGCCATTTTGGATTTTACGACAAAATATGGGGCACACTAAACTTAACTACTCTTAAGCTTTCATCGATACCACAAATCTGGTTAAAACACCTGACGAATTTATGCCATCAAATTTTGTAACACGATCGCCTATTTTTCTTTGATTGTCAACTTTGTCTTTTTCTCACATTTAGGTCTCTTATACGCAAAAGTTTGAGCGAGATTCGATAAAACCATGCTAAGTTTGACATTCGCTAAAATCATTTCAGAACAAGAAGATCTCCGAAATAAAATACCATATGATAGATTGTAGTCTATGTAAACGTTCCACCAACTGGCATTTGCATCCGTTAGCTTGCATCCGAGTAATGAGCAAGAGTTGTCTTGAAAATTTTAATTTGTTACGTCATTTTTATGGTCAGTATGCTAAACATTCTATATTCTGACGTCATTTTCGGAGTCATTATTATAAAAATTAAAACGTGACGTCACAATATGTATATATTTTTCTGATCTTTCCAGTGATATCAAACTTAATAATTTCGTAAAACGGTTAATCTTTTATGAAACAGTTGCCAGAACTTTTGAAATGCCCCTCGTATATAGTCATATTTCAGTCTGTACATTGTAACACTTGAACACATTTTGGGGTATCCCTTATCTGCAACTCCTCTTTGACTATTGAGTGTTATTCAATGAAATTTTCATAAAGTCTGTATTTTATAGGGCAGATGTGTTAGGGTTTCCATAAGAAAACACTGACTTTGCCATTTCTGATAAAATTGGGTGGTTGAAATCACTTATCTGTAACTACTGAATACAGGGAAATTTTCGCCCCCGTTTTATTTTCGCCCCTTTCACCCTCTTCTTGATTGGGCGAATTTAAAACAGGGCGAATTTAAATTACACAACATGATTTCTTAAACAGAACTATGACTGGGCGAATTTAAAACGGGGCAAAATTGTAAGCAAGTGCAAGAGGGCGAAAATAACACGGGGCGAAAATAACCCTGTATACAATATTCTTTTGCCACAAAATGCAATGTCAGGAAATTTTGACAGAATCTTCATAACATAGTGTAAATCTGCACCTCCTAGAGTATGTTTCCATGAGAAAGATAAATTGAAATATCCCACAGCAAACATGAGGAAGGTGGTATCAGTTTGAAATAAGTGCTAACAGGACCTCTAGTTTATTAAAGCAGCACTGAGTACCAAGAAAAGTTGCTACTTTCTCAGAGCACTGGATTAAGCATAATTCTTTTCTAGCATTTTTTAAGTGTATTGTTATGCAACATTACTTAGAGGAAAGCATTCCCATGCTAGATTAAGCATTTGAGAAAATGACTATCATATGCTGTCTTCATTAACAAGAAATATAGACATAAGTTGACCTTTAAGTGAGGTAATATAACAGTATTGCACCATCCAGTAGGTGTTTTCAGTAGATGATTTCCAGCTATCTACAGGTGTGTTTAATCAGTAATTGTGTTAATCTTTTATTTTTTCAGGATCTAAAGGACCCCAGAAGGCGTGACGATTTAGCTGCTGCTAGGGCTGTCCTCAAGAAAAATAGCATGATGCTGCTGACGACTTCAAAGGTAGCTAATAATGAGTTTCTATTGTGGGAAAATGTGTATTGAGTGTACTTAATGGGTGGAGAGAGTGCTCGTAAATAATAGCACTGGCAGATATGTTGCATGTGTAATTGATAGAAGGAAATGTAGGTGTTCATTCATAGGAATTTCCATTAAGAAAACCTGATGTTTGTCAAAGATGTAAGAATCTTTCATAGATCCATGTATATCTGCAAGAAGTATGGATCATTCATTAAATAAGCATAAAGTACTTTATTTACAGTGTATGTTCTTGGCAATGTATGTAGGAGTTCATTCACAAATAATAATTTCGAGATGTACTTGTAGCAAGTTGTAGGTGTATAATAACATGTACTTAATCATTATTGTGCAGTTTATTGACAATTTGTATTTGTGTTCATTCAGCAATGCTGTTTTTATTTCAGGCTTATGTAAGGCATCCAGAACTTGCTCCAGCCAAATCAAATCGAGACTATGCCTACCAACAGCTTGTGGATGCCGTCAACACAATATCTGGTGTGGCCCAGGCCTCGGGGGCCTCTGATGCTCACCCATATGAGGGAGCTGGGGAACTGGCTTCAGCATTGGATGAATTGATGGTAAAAATGTGCCAAACAATTTTTTTATTAAATTTTCATGAGAAATGTCCGATTATTTTCGATTATGAATCGAAACGGTGTTTCCGATTCGATTTGATAATCGATTGTATTTTTCCTCCGATTCTGAAACACTACAAAACAATAAAGTAATATCAGTATAATGCAATACCTGGATAATCAGAATCTCTGTGAATTCCAAGCTTTATTTTCATTCCCATTTTAGTATTCTTTTCTATTTTCTTAAACTGCGACCTGATACCCATTTTGTATTCCAGTGCATGTTTATCAAACATGTTTCACTGTACAAAGATTTAAGCAAGATTTTTCTATGAATACATGTAATCAAACTTCATGTTCAAATGGTGGGAAATCTCATTTAGAAATATGTCTCACTGCCATGATTATCCATAATAAATTATACATCAGATGTTGAAAAAATAAAATAATCATTTTTTTGTAGCAAAAAATAATCATGGATCCCTTGACGTACAATGAAGTGAGGACCCGGCCCTCGTTAGAGGAAAGACTAGAGAGCATCATCAGTGGCGCTGCCCTAATGGCAGACTCCTCGTGTACGCGGGACGATCGCAGGGAGAGGATCGTACAGGAGTGTAATGCCGTCAGACAGGCCTTACAAGATCTGTTAACAGAGTACATGAACAATGTGAGTACATGGCTGTCTTATTTAATATCAGAGTAAACAGATGATTGATCAGTATTCAACTTAGTCTTGTGATAGTTTATATTAAAATCTTTTTTTCAAATATTGTTCATGAAAAACTTCCAGCATAATTTAAAAAATCTGATTTAAACTGTATATGTACCATCTTATTGAAACAGTATAAAGAAACAAAGAAAATAATTGACTGCCATTTGAGAAACATTTCAATGATAAAGAGCAACTTTATGTATTGAAGATTTCCATGAGGTAGCACAAATTAGAAGTCACTAATATAAACTTTATCTAAAACAAATACTTCTACTAAATGAATTTAGTGCAGGAAACCACAATCAAGTAATTTCAAGGTACAGGTAACACTGGAATGTTTTTTAAATCTTTTCATCTCTAGGAAATTTCAATAGATTGTATTTATAATAATATTGTATTGCCCATTTCCATATTGTACACAAGTTATGATAAATAACATAGCTATCTTGTCAACTTTTGCCTTAGAGTTCCATTAACAAACTTGCTGTTAAAAAGAGAGAGCATACAATGTAATTGCCTGAATTTTATATTGAGTTACCTAGAATTATTTTAACAATCTTGTACTTGGAATGTTTTTAATTGAGAATTCAACTGTGTTAAAACTTTGAATGTTTAGTTAGACATGTGAAATTGTCACTGCCTTGAAATGAATGAAATGTGTTAAGCATGTAGCTAAAGATGAAGATATTATATGTAGTTCTGTGAATACAAGTACATATGTTTTCTTTTTTCATTCAGAAATTTTTAAATGAGTTGATATTAAAGTTGTTAGGGAAAGTTTCATAAAGAAAAAGTGGCTCATTATGGATAAAAGCTGCATCCCATCTTTCTTTTTCAATATTCAGAGAAATAATTTAAGACATATCCATTTACCCATATTGCATGTGCATGTCATGAATTCAATTCAAAATTTAGATGTGTTTTATATATCTGACCTTCAGAAGGAAAACCTTTGCTAGAATATCCTATTCATATTACATGTATTTAATGTATCAATCCACAGCTTTTTCAGGTCAATAGTGTTTGTATTTTGACTTCAGGGATGGGGTAATTGAATAAAGTAATTGTAATTGAGTGTAATTAATTACATTTTTCAAAGTAATTGGAAGTAATTTGTATTTGAGAGAGCCTTCAATTACAAGTAATTGAATGTATTTAAATACATTTCAAAAAGGGTCATGTATTTTCAATTACTTTTCAATTACATTTCAATTACTTTTTTTTTCAAAATGAAAGTTTATATTTAAAAAGATGTCTTATACTGATACATAGTTTTATACTGGTGGGTTTATTACTTATTCCAATGTTTTATAAATCTCAGTTCTCCCTATTCCCACTTGCAAATAACAATGATTGTTTAGATAGTTAATTTATTTTACAGCAATTAGACTAACTACATCCCCTTTTAGATTTACCTGTATTCTATTCATTTTAAGATAGAAAATAATGAATGGAATTGTGATAGATATTATTTATTTCCTTAAAAAAAGATGGACTTGAGAAAGTAACAAAAGAGATCTTGCCATACACCATACTGGTGTAGCATATGGGCTTGTGTTTGTACAATAATTAATTGTCTCATAATGTTTTATTTGTTTATACAGTGTGTCACACTCATTATAAGGTAAAGGTCTAATTTTGACCAGGTGTGAACCCCTATCATACCCAAGAACAAAAACGCTGAATGAAAGTTCAAATTCGATCGCTATAGAAAAAATCTTATTTTAAAAAAAATCTTTATTTTTTTTTTTTTATAAAAATAAAACTCAAAGTAATTGAAATGTATTTAATTACATTTGTCAAAGTAATTGAAAGTAATTAATTACATTTGAAAAAATCAATGTAATTGTAATTGCAAGTAATTGACAAAATTATCAATGTATATGAAAGTAATTAATTACATTTCAAAGTAATTGACCCCAAGCCTGTTTGACTTCATCATGTTCATAGCTTAATCTTAATGAAAATTTCTAAAAATGCCAAATTTTGTAATAATAAAATGATTTTCCTAGAAATTTGTCCTTCTTAGGAATTATATAGGCAATAAAGTAATAAAAAAAAAAAATGCTTTACAAAATGTGTAAAGTTAATGACTCTGATCTGACTTGCTTGCAGTCTGGAAGAAGTGAGAGAAGTGAAGATTTACAGAGAGCCATAGATAACATGGAACGTAAAACAAAGGACCTCAAGAGACAGGTATGTATACTCAGAGATCAATGATAAAACGGTATAAGCATAAAACACAGCAGTCTAAGAACTGTCTCCGGTCATATATATATAAGGAGAAGAAAATGTATCAACTTTGAACTCTTCTAGTTTTTTTATACTGTAATGTGGATCAATTTCTTTTCTTTTTTTTATAGCTGAGAAAAGCAGTGGTGGATCATGTTTCTGACTCCTTCTTGGAGACTAACGTGCCCCTCCTTGTCCTGATAGAGGCTGCCAAGGCCGGGGATGAGAAGGGGGTGGAGGAGTATGCCCAGGTGTTTGCTGACCACGCCAACAAACTTGTGGAGGTATAAAACTCATGTTTGCACTGTAATATATACAGTCTACGTATCATTAGCTCGCAGAAAAAAAAAAATTATGTCAGATACTTTTGTAAGGTTAAAAAGGATTAAAAAGTAACTTTGTCACATAAAGCAGTTTGTTCTTAACACTACTAATTCGTATGCCTCACCTCTGTGCACAGGTAGCAAACTTGGCCTGTTCTATGTCCAGCAATGCAGAAGGTGTGAAAATGGTCAGAATGACTGCAGCTGAACTCGAAAGTCTCTGTCCACAGGTATGTTGGTTATGGTTAAATTTTAAAAACTCAACTATTGTTATAGTTGAACCTCAGTATTTCAAACACTTACAGTACATGAGTTTTTGAAAAACCATAGATATTTCAAAGTAATTTGGAAGTTCTACCCCTTTTCTCTATCAGTATTCATGTAATCCTCAATACCTCTTATCCTTGGAAATTTTCCTCTATCCCATCAAGATAAAGATAATGAGCTCTATTGTACATGTGTCTGTGTATAATTGTTTAAAAAAAAAAAAGGATTGAGTACAGTCACAAAGTGCAAATGCTTTTGTATAGATATATTAAAAGATAGTACATTTATAGCAAAAGTGTTTATGAAAATATTAATTTTGAATTTTTGTATCCTCTAGGTAATCAATGCAGCTCGAATTCTTGCCAGTCGTCCTAGGTCAAAGGTCGCTCAAGAAAACATGGACGTGTTTAAGGATGCCTGGGAAAGAGAAGTGCGGATCTTGACAGATGCTGTAGATGATATTACCACCATTCATGATTTCTTGGCTGTGTCTGGTAAGAGGAGTTAATATATTTTTTACCCTCTT